CAGTATGTTCTCTAGCTGTACTCTGTTGTTCTTTTTTCTCCATGTATCATGCTCCTCAGGAATTTTCCATTGCTACTGTTACAAAGCCATCAAACTCGACATTACTTAAAACTAATTCTAAAGGTTTCTATATTCCATTTTGAGATTTTGTGCCCCTCGTCTCATGTCGCAGGTGAATTATTCGGGGAAGTCATCCTTGGTGGGTTAATTAAAGGGGCTTTCTTCATGATGAAGCGATGATCAAATGGGAAGGAATCAACGACTGAAGGAAAATCAGAGCGCAAGGAAACGGTGATGAAGTAATAGTGGAATGGTAATGAGAGTCACAGGCATCATTTAGGTTGGCAAAGGCCGTAAAGGTCGTCAAGTCCAACCGTTAAGCTAACACTGCCAAGTTCACCAGGAAACCATGTCCCTAAGCTGGCGCTTGCCTCTGCACTTACAGGTGGAGAAGCTGCCCAGAGCTTCACAGCCAGCCCTGTGATGCAGTGTCCGTGTCAGCGGTGCTGATGTCACAGAGGCCACTGGGGGCAGGGGCGGGGCAGGCCTATAAAAGAGGGAACGCTGGGTGCAGTGCATCAGTGCGACCTGGTGAGGTGCGGGGAGTAGAGGGCAGGGACAGGGCTCCTGGGGGCCTGCCGAGGGAAGAGGGGGCTCCACAGCGCAGGGCTCTGGGCCTGTGCTGGGGGCTCACCTGCGTCTCCTCCCTCAGAGGTAGCAGAGGAGCATTTGGAGAAGCCCCAGCGCTGCTGAGACAGGGACTCTCCAAACACCCACCTTTGATGTCTGACACGTCCGCAAGGAGGTGTAGGACACCCAACTCGATGGCGCAGGGTGAGAGCAAAGTCCCCCTCCTACAGCCTGGCAGAGGGACTCCTGAGGCTGTGGGCATGGACCGGGAGCGTTGGCAGGGGGAGGCAGGAGCTCCAAAGCCACGCAGCGGGAGGGCCGCTCCTCTGCTTGGCAAGCGGGACCAAGGCTGGGCAGTGCGCACCCTCCGGGACATCCATGCCTGCAGTGCCCTTTCCTCTCCAAGGCTTCCAGCCCTGCTCAGCAGCCAGCTAGGCAGGGACAGAGCAGCCCTTGGGGGCAATCCCTCAGGGACGCACCCCTGGCCCCACAGATGTGCTCATTCTCAGTGGCATTTGCTCTCTTCCCTCCAGCATGCATGCTATGTCACCTGGTAGAGGCAGACCCAGATATCTGTGGCCCAAAACTGCATTCTCAATCGGTCTGTGCCCATCTCTTTTGCCTGGTGAGTTCCTCTGGGGCTGGTTTCATCTTTGCAATGCACCTGCCCTGCCACATGCCCCTCATCTGCCCCTTGTCTCTGCTCTTCTGCAGCTTTTTGCCACTGATCTTTTTCCACATGGGACACAACAGGAAGAACAGATGATATTTCATTCTACGGAAATTCTAAGCACAATCCATCAGGCAGCCCAGATGGTGAGGATCTGAGATGATCAGGGTGATTTGTGGAAGGGGAGGATTGCGGGAGCTTAACGCAGATGCCAAGAACAGAATCCCAGCCTTTCCACCCAGCTCTGGGATGGAAGTCTTGCTCCCAGCAGCTCCACGGAGGCTCCAGCACAGGAGCCTGCTCTGCCTGGTCGATCTGTGGCCTGTGATCCAGCTGGGGCCACATCCTGCACCCAGCCCCGAGGTGTGGGTCTGGCTGTGGAGACCCTGAGGCTGCCACTGATGGAGGCTGCTCTGCTCTTTCCAGGTCTGCTTTGTGTGTGGTGAGAGGGGGGCCACCATCACCTGCCAGGAGATGGGCTGCGACCGCAGGTTCCATCTCCCCTGTGCCGTGGAGGGCGGATGTGTCACTCGTTACCAGCTGCCGTACAGGTACCATCTCTACCCTTATCCCCATCACCGGGGAAGGACCCAGCGCTTCTCATCTCACCCATCCCTTCCTTCTTCCCCTAGTTCCTTCTGCTGGGAGCACCGTCCACAGCAGCAAGAGCTGGCGGCTCCAGAGGACACCGAGTGCCTCATCTGCATGGACCCTGTTGAAGGCAGAACGACCTATGGGACCATGGTGTGCCCAGCCTGCAAACATGCCTGGTTCCACAGGGCCTGCATCCAGGTAGGAGCTGTTCCCTTGGTCCGGACACGGCAGGCTCTCAGCAGCAGCAGAGCCTCACTCACGCTCTTTCTGTTTCTCCTGCAGGGACAGGCTCTGCGTTCTGGCGCTTTTTGCTTGCAGTGCCCTGTGTGTCAAAATAAGAGAGTGTTTCTAACAGAAATGCTCCACGTGGGGATCCGAATCCCAGTGAGGTTGGTGTCCTCCTGGCCAGCACTGCGTCACACCTGGACCTGCCCCCGCAGTCATGGCCCTCCGCTGACCCCCAACTCCAGGCTTTAGCTCCATGCAGGAGTTGGAAACAGGGTGTGGGGGGAAGAGCGGGGAGGCCCTGCATATGCCTTACGCTGTGGCAGCAGGGGCTCATCAAGTTTCCTTTCTCCATCAGACAAGCGACATGGGAAGATGACAATGCATACAGAGAACTGTACCAGAGGCACGGGAGCTGCGATGCCAGCGAGTGCCTTTGTCCAGGAGGCAGAGGGGTGGCAGAGCCAGACGGGTAAGTTGCCAAAGATGCACCCCGGGGCTCGGCATGGGATCTCTGTCTCAGCAAAGGCTCGAAGCAGAAAGGCTGAGAACAAGAGCTCTGCTGGACAGTCCCGTGCTGTGGGCACTTGATCCTTAGAGACATGAACCAATTTCTTTCCCCAGGCCTTGGCAGCTCTTTCTGTGCAGCTCCTGCGCTGCTGTGGGCACACACAGACACTGCTCCCAGCTGGAGAACAGCCATGAGGCCGGATGGGAGTGTGACAGCTGCGCTGGCCTGGGCACCCGTAAGTGTCAGAGCACCCGGGTGCTCCTGGACTGGGGCCAGGGGCCAGGCAAGGCCGGGCAGTGGGTGCCTGGTGTGGGCTTGGCAGAGCCTGTCTGCTCCAGGAGGGCTGGGGCACCGCTCTGGCCTACGCTGCCCCAGGCCTGGGAACCAAGCCCTTATTGTTCCTGCTTTCCCTTGTAGCCTCCAGTTCCAGGTCAGAGCTTGCTGGTCCCAGCACTGACAGCCCAGCAGTATCGGGGCAGTCTCCTGGATCTCTGCAACGGGAGCTCAGCAGCTCCAGCAGCAGCAGCAGCAGCAGCCAGGCAGCATCGGGGCAGACCAGCAGGTGCAGCAGCACCAGGCAGCAGGCAGCGGTGGCATCCCGTGGCTCTCCATCACAGCAAAGAAGGAGGAGCAACAGCCCCGGTGGGCCCGTGCGGGTGCGAGGCCGCTCCCGCGTGCGGCGTCGGGACCAAGCTCCCTATGCACGGCCCAGAAGACGCTCCCAGGGCAGCCGCACACCACCAGCACGAGCTGGGAGGAGCCCCTGCAGACCGGCTGCGTCCAGGCTGTCCCAGGGCTCACCAGCACGTGCGAGCCGCAGGCACAGCACCACCAGACAGCGGCCATCAGCATCATCCCATGGCTCCAGAGAACGACAAAGAGGCAGCGCCTCAAGATCCACCGGGCCTCTGCGGGTGCGAGACCGCTCCCGTGTGCAGCGTCGGGACCAAGCTCCCTATGCACGGCCCAGAAGACGCTCCCAGGGCAGCCGCACACCACCAGCACGAGCTGGGAGGAGCCCCCGCAGACCGGCTGCGTCCAGGCTGTCCCAGGGCTCACCAGCACGTGCGAGCCGCAGGCGCAGCACCACCAGACAGCGGCCATCAGCATCATCCCATGGCTCCAGAGAACGACAAAGAGGCAGCGCCTCAAGATCCACCAGCCCTGTTCACGTGCGAGACCGCTCCCGTTCGGAACGCCGGGCCCAAACTCCCAACACGCGGCGCAGAAGGTGCCGTTAGAGCACCCACACGCCAGCACCACATGCGAAGAGGAGCACACGCAGACAGGCTGTGCTGGGGCTATCCCAGCGCTCCCCAGCACCTGCTAGCAGCTGCTGCAGCAGTGGCAGGAGTCACCAGGGAGCAGCAGCTCCAGCATTGACAGCCAGGAGGCTTTACAGCCATGCCACAGTTCCCTGGCACCAGACACTGGCACTGCAACAATCAGGCCATGCCACGGCCTCCCAGCGTGCTCCCAGTTGAACTGTCACACCCAAACTGCCTACACATGGCCCAGAAGACAGCAGAAGAGGAGCCAAGCGCCAGCACCACGTGGTGAAAGGAGCACCCACAGCCAGGCAGTGAGGGACTGTCCCAGCGCTCGCCAGTACCTGAGACAAGGAGCCCCAGAACCAGCAGGCATCGGCCATCAGCAGCATCCTCTGACTCCGCAGCACTGGAAAGCGGCAGCAGCTCCATCCCCGCTAGCCCCACGTGGGTGTGAGACAACTCCCACTTGCAACATCGGGCCCAAACTCCCAGAGCACAGTCTGGACACCTCAGTGGGACCAACCGTGTTTCCCCTCCGAGCGACCGCTGGGATCACCCTCTATCGGCACAATAAAGGTGGCCCTTCATCTCTGGACTGGGAGATTCCAGGCTCCTTGGTTGGCTTCCTCCTCCTCTGCCTTTCTCAAGGGGCAGCATCAGTGGTGGACTTGGCAGTCCTAGGGCCTAGGGTAAAGGTTGGACGTGATGATCTTAAAGCTCTAGTTGATGTTAGTGATTCTAGTTGATTCTGTGATTCTATGTACTGTTGACAGTCACGGGTGCTCAGATCCCACAAAAAAAAAAAGAAAGAAAAGAACAAAAACACAAAAAAAAAAGTGGAAAAGGACAATTAAAATCAAGGGGCTTCCTCCTAAATCTGTTGCCCCCACGCAGAACCGCTTTGCTGTCCTGCCAGAGGTGAAGGAGGAAACGCACTTGCACCGGAAAGAGCCAGATGATGCACTGGTAAAGAAGATCTCTACTGGTGCTGCCAGGAAAAAGCAGTGGGTCGCAGTAGCAGGGGACTGTACTTTGAAAGAGACAGAAGCACTCATCTGTCGGCCTGACCCGGTCTCAAGGGAGGTGTGTTGCCTACCAGGGGCACAGATCAGGGATGTTGCAGAGAGGCTGCCTGCTCTAGGAATTCCCATGGACTATTACCAACTTCTAGTGATACATGCGGGTGCTAGGGATATAGATAGTAGTAGCGTGGAGAACATAAAGAAGGACTACAAAGCCCTGGGAGAGGTGGTTAGGGGCTCTAGAGCTCAGATAGTCTTTTTGTCGATTCTCCGGGATACAAGGGAGGACCTAAAAAAAGCTAGGAGGATTAGCCAGGTTAGTAAACGGTTAAAAGGGTGGTGTCATAGTCAGGGGTTTGGGTGTCTTGAATGCGGGAGCCAAGTCTGTAGGCCAGGTCTGGTGGGGACTGGTGGAGCTGGTCTGATGAAGAGCAGTTCTGGTAGGAGGCTTGCCAGACTGGTAAAGGAGGCTTTAAACTAGATGTTTTTGGGGGAGGGGGCCATCATTCCATCCCAAGACATCCAGTCAGTTGCCAGCACCTATAAGAAATGCTCGGAGCAATTTGGATGTATTCCAGCCGCTCCAGCCAATGAGCCGGCTTCATTTGGAGCTCGGCTCAGATGCCTCTATACAAACGCCCGTAGCATGGGGAACAAACAAGAGGAATTAGAGATGTGCGCACATCTACGGGAGTATGCTATAATGGGCATCACAGAAAAAAGGTGGGGTGGCTGCTATGACTGGAGTGTTGGAATGGAAGGTTACAGGCTCGTTAGAAAAGACATGCATGGCAGGCGCGGAGGGGGAGTTGCCCTTTACGTTAGGGATAGGCTGGAGAGTATGGAACTCTGTCTGGGGACAGGTGATCAGTTAACAGAGAGTTTGTGGGTCAGGGTTAAAGGGAAAACAGCTATGGGAGACATTACTGTGGGGATCTCTTACGGACCCCCAGATCAAGAAGAACCTGCGGGTGAAGCACTCTATAGACAGATAGGAAAAGCCTCACGCTCACAGGCCCTTGTTCTCATGGGTCACTTCAACCACCCTGACATCTGTTGGAACGAGGGTACGGCCCGGCACAAGCAATCCAGGAGGTTCCTCCATTGTGTGGAAGACAACTTCCTCCTGCAAGGAATAGAGGAGCCAACAAGAAGGGGTGCCATGCTTGACCTCATGCTCACCAACAGGGAAGGGCTCGTTGGAAATGTTGGAAACACTCCAAGGCAGCCTTGGATGCAACCATCAGGAGATAGTCAAATTTGAGATCCTCAGGACGGTGAGAAGAGCGTGCAGCAAGCTCACTGCCCAAGACTTCAAAAGAGCACACTTTGGCCTCTTCAGGAACCTGCTTAGTAAGATTCCATGGGATATAGCCCTAGAGGGCAGAGGGGCCCAAGACACTTGCGTGATATTCAAGGATCACCTGCTACAAGCTCAGGAGCCTTGCATCCCAACCAGAAGGAAGTGCAGCAGGAGGGCCAGGAGACCTCCTTGGATGCATAAGGAGCTGCTGAGGAAAGTTCAAATGAAAAAAGAGGCGTATAAAAGGTGGACGCAAGGACAGGCGGCCTGGGAAGAGTACAGGGATGTTGTCCAGGAAGCTAGGGACCAGGTTAGGAAAGACAAGGCCCAGTTAGAATTAAACTTGGCTAGGGATGATAAGGATAACAGGAAGGGATTCTACAGGTACGTAGCAAGTAAACAACAGATTAAGGACAACGTAGGCCCCTCAGGAAACTCTCGAGTACTAGCTGCGCAGGATTTCGAGAAGGCTGAGGTTCGGAATGACTTCTTTGCCTTGGTCTTCACTGTCAAAGGCTCTGACTGCACCACCCAAGTCTTGGAAGGTAGATGCAGGGACTGTGAGAATGAAGACCTTGGGCCCACTGTAGGAGAGGATCTGATCTGAGACCATCTTAAAAACGTGAATGCACACATGTCCGTGGGACCTGATGAAATCCATCCATGGGTCCTGAAGGAGCTGGCGAATGAAGTTCTTAAGCCACTGGCCATCATATTTGAGAAATCATGGCAGTCAGGTGAAGTTCCCGACGACTGGAAAAAGGGAAATTTCCATTTTCAAGAAGGGGAAAAGGGATGACCCGGGGAATTAGAGACCAGTCAGTCTCACTTCTGTGCCTGGCAAGATCTTGGAGCAGATTCTCCTGGAAGGCATGCTAAGGCACATTGTCCTGGGTTTAGCAGTAGCAGTCAGTTTTCTCCTTCTTGGTAGCTGGTGCAGTGCTGTGTTTTGACTTTCGGGCTGGGAACAGAGCTGATAAAAATGATGTTTTGGTTTGGCCAAGGACTTTGTGAGCCTCATGCTCTGCCAGGGAGGATGGGAAGCCGGGAGGCAGCAGAGACAGGACACCTGCCCCAAACTGACCACAGAGGCATTCCATACCACAGCACGTCATGCCCAGGGGGGAACTGGGAGTTACCCGAAAGGACAGGGGGTCTGTCGGGTCGGACTCGTTCTTTGGCGGGTGGTATTGTACTCTTTTCCCTTGCTATTATCTCTTATCATAGTTGTTAGTGGTGGTAGCGGTGGTGATTTATGTTGTACATTGGTTGCTGGACTGTTCGTATCTCAGCCCGTGGGAGTTGCATTCTTTCGATTCTCCTCCCATCCCTCTGGTAACGGGGAAGGGGGGGGCAGCCCCTGGGGAGGGGTGGGGGACGTGGGCCTCGATTGCTTCCAGCCTGGCACCATTCACTGGGAGTGAGTGCACAAGCCGTCTGGCTGGGGTTAAACCACGACACACATGAAACAGAACAAGGTGCTCAGTGATGTCGACGCAGGAGTCACGGACAACGCAGAGATGATCAATGTGATCAGCGATTGCCAATTTATTACAAAGTTTTAACTCCTTATATACCGTTTCTTACAGGCATTTACAGTGATTTGGTATATTATGATTGGATACGTGTCTTGAAGACCCTTAGTGACTAACACATAATTGGTTAAGCACAGGTGTGAGAACATGACCTCGAAAGCTTGCCAACAGTCCACAGTTCTCATTAACAGGGTGAATTCCAGCTTCTTCTTATCTTGCTTTCTTAAGCTTCCTCGGGCCTCTCAGGGCATTGCTGTATCTTTCAGGATTTATGTCCCAATTATCCATTCACCCGTGAGAAAAATGTCTCCACACGGTGACAGCCAGCATGGCTTCACTAGGGGAAAGTGCTGCCTAACCAATTTGGTGGCCTTCTGTGATGGGGATACAGAACTGATAGACAGGGGTAGAACAGTTGATATCATCTACCCGGACTTGTGCAAAGCGTTCGACATGGTCCCACACAACATCCTTGTCTCTAGATTGGAGAGACAGCAATTTGATGAATGGACCACTCGATGGATAAAGAACTGTCTGGATGGCCGCACACAAAGAGTTGTGTTCAGTGGCTCAGTGTCCAGCTGGAGACCAGTAACGAGTGGTGTCCCTCAGGGGTCGGTGTTGGGACCGGTCTTGTTTAGCATCTTCGTCGCTGACATGGACTGTGGGATTGAGTGCACCCTCAGCAAGTTTGCCGATGACACCAAGCTGTGTGGTTCCGTTGCTACGCTGGAGGGAAGGAATGCCATCCAGAGGGACCTCGAAACGCTTGTGAGGTGGGCTGATGCCAACCTCAGGAAGTTTAACCATGCCAAGTGCAAGGTCCTACACCTGGGTTGGAAAAATCCCAGGCACAGCTACAGGTTGGGCAGAGAAGAGATTCAGAGCAGCGCTTCGGAGAAAGACTTGGGGGTGCTGGTCGATGAGAAATTGAACATGAGCTGGCGTCAGTGTGTGCTTGCAACCCAGAAAGCCAACCGTATCCGAGGCTGCATCAAAAGGAGCGTGACCAGCAGGTCGAAGGAGGTGATCCTGCCCCTCTACTCTGCTCTTGTGAGAACTCACTTGGAGTATTGTGTGCAGTTCTGGTGTCCACAACATAAAAGGGACATGGAACTGTTGGAACAAGTCCAGAGGAGGGCCATGAGGATGATCAGGGGAGTGGAGCACCTCCCGTATGAAGATAGGCTGAGAAAGTTGGGGCTGTTCAGCCTGAAGAAGAGAAGGCTGCGTGGAGACCTCAGAGCAGCCTTCCAGTATCTGAAGGGGGCCTATAGGGATGCTGGGAAGGGACTCTTCTTTAGGGACTGTAGTGACAGTCCCTGTCAGTGTTCAAGACCAGGTTGGACGAAGCCTTGGATGAGATGGTTTCGTGTGAGGCGTCCCTGCCCATGGCAGGGTGGTTGGAACTAGGTGATCTCAAGGTCATTTCCAAACCTAACTATTCTACGATTCTATGATTCTATGATTCTATGAAGATGGTCAGAAAAAACAATGAATGCCAGATAATGTAAATATATCTCCGTAATTTGCAGGTCAGACTTGTGGTTGCTTTTATTACCAACAATTAAGCAATTCAGAGTAGATTATTTAACTCACAAAAAGCAAATATGCTTTGGGAAAGCTGTGCTGCAAATCATTCCCACTTTTTATCCCCACATAATCTTCAAGCACATCACCAGAAATCAGGTAACTTGTTCCTCACTGATGTCAAGGAAAAGAAGGACTGTGGCTTCCCACAGAGCTGCAGAATCACTGATGCTGGTAGGTACCTCTGCGGATCACCCAGTTCAACTTCAGCTCAAAGCAGGGTCAGCTACAGCATGTTGCCCAGGGCCACGTGCAGCAAGGTTTGAATAGCTGCAAGGATGGAGAGGCCACAACCCCTCCGGGCAGTCAGTGCCAGTTTTCACACACCCACATTGTGAAAAGCTGTGCATTTTGGGGTCTTTATTAACGACATTTCCTAAATTTCAACTTGTGCCCGTATCCTCTTGCCTTTGACTGGATACCACAAAGAAGTCTGGCTCTGTCTCTATATCCTCCCATCAGATATTTATACACATGGATAAAATCCCCTGAGCCTTGTCTCCTCTGGGATGGCTTCTTCCCATTGTCTGAAGAAGGAGTCATCTCCTTCTTTCTGATCTGGTGGTCTGTGGTGAACACCCACCACAGCACCACATCCAGTGGTTTGCTCCCTGAGTATGACCCAGCAGCTCCCAGCCGGCTAATTCTTTGGTCCCAAGGCAAAGTTCCCTCACCTAGCATGCAAAACCTGCTGTGGTTCCTCACTGCCCTCCTCTGTCATTCCTGTGATGGTTTTGCCCCGCTTGATCAGGAAGATCACATTTCTTTGTAGGCACCTTTGATCCCCAAAGAAGATCATAAAAGTCATAAAAGCCCAGTCCTTGCTGTTGACACCAAATATGCAAATAGTTGCAGGCCTACAGGGTCTGACAAGCACAACCAGTGTGTCCACGACATCCGAGGTCTCAGCCCTTGGTAAGCAGAAAACATCCCCTAGAACACAGGCTGGGTTGACAGATGAAGCCTCCATCCCTCACAGTCACCCTTGCCACCAGCCTTCTTTCTCAGGCTCAGATGCTTTATTGGACAGAGCTCCAGCCCAGCATCCGCACCCACGGAACTGAAGCTATGCTGTAGTTGCGTATCTGCAGGTGGAGGAGAAGCCTTCCTCCTGAGGCCAGAACTCACAAGCTTCTGCCTATGCCACCATGGAAATCTGCATTTCCCAGCCTGATAAGCACAGACTTCCATTGCATTCTTCAGTACAGCTAGGGGCTCAGGCTCTTGTATCTTCAGGGTCCTGGAGAAGACCTAATCTCTTCCTGGACCACTGCATCAACTGCTACAACAGCCAGCTGCTTTTTAAGGCCAGCAGCTATATAGGCTTCTCCACAGCACCTGCTGAAAGGGTGCATGATCTTCCCAAACTAGGAGTCAGCTGGGGAAGGAAGAAAGCTCAAAGCACCTTCTGGTCAGGCATAGCTGGCAGAGCTCATTACAAGTTGCTAGAGCCTGCTGGAACACAGGCCTCCTGTACTTATCCCTTCCCAGCTGCAGCCAGCGCCCTGAAAACCCTTGAAGAATTCCCAGTTCTCCAGCAGCCCTAGAAGTTCCCAGGGGATCTCAAAGGAAGGCGAAGAAACTACTCACCTCTTGGCTGCCTCTTTTAGCTGTACTCACCGCATGAGTTTAAAGGAGTCCTGATGACTGCCACAACCAACAGCAGCGTCTCTATTTTTTATGGATAATCAATACACCAGCCACTAAGTGGACCTTTGAAGGTCCATCCAACCCAAACTATTCCATCATTCCTTTTCTTCTACTCTGCTTCTGCTCCACACATAGTCTGGTGTTTGCCCTGGTGTCCGATTCAGAGAAAACTCCAGGCACAAACTTGCCAACAAACTTTTCAAGTTGACAAGCAGGTATTCTTTATTGCGGCGCCGGGAGACACGGGGGATAGCTCCTCCTAACGTGTGTCTCCCTATTGCCACACAAGCCGTCTTTTTATAGCCACTGGGCATAAATACATGTTCATGAGGCTACGTATGGATTACATCATTTTCCAGAAAGTTCCCTGCGTGCGTACACAATTGTGGTGGTGGTGGTCTCTGAGGGTCGTTTACTTCTTCCAACAATCTTCATCACTACTGGCAGCCTTTGAAGCACGCGCAGTAGATGCTCATACCAGTTTAATTGGGTCGTTAACACCAGAGACATAATAATCCTCCTATCCTCCTACTTATCAGTTAGTTTAACTGTAGCCCATCCTGGACACCTGCGGTTCCCAGATACTCCTTATCCCTGTGTCCTCTTCTTCTAGAGTCTTTTTCTTCAAAATATGTCAACTATAATGATTTATCTTGTGAGAATTCTCAGTATGTTCTCTAGCTGTACTCTGTTGTTCTTTTTTCTCCATGTATCATGCACCTCAGGAATTTTCCATTGCTACTGTTACAAAGCCTTCAAACTCGACATTACTTACAACTAATTCTAAAGGTTTCTATATTCCATTTTGAGATTTTGTGCCCCTCGTCTCATGTCGCAGGTGAATTATTCAGGGAAGTCATCCTTGGTGGATTAATTAAAGGAGCTTTCTTCATGATGAAGCGATGATCAAATGGGAAGGAATCAACGACTGAAGGAAAATCAGAGCACAAGGAAACGGTGATGAAGTAATAGTGGAATGCTAATGAGAGCCACAGGAATCATTTAGGTTGGCAAAGGCCGTAAAGGTCGTCAAGTCCAACCGTTAAGCTAACACTGCCAAGTTCACCAGGAAACCATGTCCCTAAGCTGGCGCTTGACTCTGCACTTACAGGTGGAGAAGCTGCCCAGAGCTTCACAGCCAGCCCTGTGATGCAGTGTCCGTGTCAGCGGTGCTGATGTCACAGAGGCCACTGGGGGCAGGGGCGGGGCAGGCCTATAAAAGAGGGAACGCTGGGTGCAGTGCATCAGTGCGACCTGGTGAGGTGCGGGGAGTAGAGGGCAGGGACAGGGCTCCTGGGGGCCTGCCGAGGGAAGAGGGGGCTCCACAGCGCAGGGCTCTGGGCCTGTGCTGGGGGCTCACCTGCGTCTCCTCCCTCAGAGGTAGCAGAGGAGCATTTGGAGAAGCCCCAGCGCTGCTGAGACAGGGACTCTCCAAACACCCACCTTTGATGTCTGACATGTCCGCAAGGAGGTGTAGGACACCCAACTCGATGGCGCAGGGTGAGAGCAAAGTCCCCCTCCTACAGCCTGGCAGAGGGACTCCTGAGGCTGTGGGCATGGACCGGGAGCGTTGGCAGGGGGAGGCAGGAGCTCCAAAGCTACGCAGCGGGAGGGCCGCTCCTCTGCTTGGCAAGCGGGACCAAGGCTGGGCAGTGCGCACCCTCCGGGACATCCATGCCTGCAGTGCCCTTTCCTCTCCAAGGCTTCCAGCCCTGCTCAGCAGCCAGCTAGGCAGGGACAGAGCAGCCCCTGGGGGCAATCCCTCAGGGACGCATCCCTGGCCCCACAGATGTGCTCATTCTCAGTGGCATTTGCTCTCTTCCCTCCAGCATGCATGCTGTGTCACCGGGTAGAGGCAGACCCAGATATCTGTGGCCCAAAACTGCATTCTCAATCGGTCTGTGCCCATCTCTTTTGCCTGGTGAGTTCCTCTGGGGCTGGTTTCACCTTTGCAATGCACCTGCCCTGCCACATGCCCCTCATCTGCCCCTTGTCTCTGCTCTTCTGCAGCTTTTTGCCACTGATCTTTTTCCACATGGGACACAACAGGAAGAAGAGATGATATTTCGTTCTATGGAAATTCTAAGTACAATCCATCAGGCAGCCCAGATGGTGAGGATCTGAGATGATCTGGGTGATTTGTGGAAGGGGAGGATTGCAGGAGCTTAACGCAGATGCCAATAACAGAATCCCAGCCTTTCCACCCAGCTCTGGGACGGAAGTCTTGCTCCCAGCAGCTCCACGGAGGCTCCAGCACAGGAGCCTGCTCTGCCTGGTCGATCTGTGGCCTGTGATCCAGCTGGGGCCACATCCTGCACCCTGCCCCGAGGTGTGGGTCTGGCTGTGGAGACCCTGAGGCTGCCACTGATGGAGGCTGCTCTGCTCTTTCCAGGTCTGCTTTGTGTGTGGCGAGAGGGGGGCCACCATCACCTGCCAGGAGATGGGCTGCGACCGCAGGTTCCATCTCCCCTGTGCCGTGGAGGGCGGATGTGTCACTCGTTACCTCCTGCCGCACAGGTACCATCTCTACCCTTATCCCCATCACCGGGGAAGGACCCAGCGTTTCTCATCTCACCCATCCCTTCCTTCTTCCCCTAGTTCCTTCTGCTGGGAGCACCGTCCACAGCAGCAAGAGCTGGCGGCTCCAGAGAACACCAAGTGCCTCATCTGCATGGATCCTGTTGAAGGCAGAACGACCTATGGGACCATGGTGTGCCCAGCCTGCAAACAAGCCTGGTTCCACAGGGCCTGCATCCAGGTAGCAGCTGTTCCCTTGGTCCGGACACGGCAGGCTCTCAGCAGCAGCAGAGCCTCACTCACGCTCCTTCTGTTTCTCCTGCAGGGACAGGCTCTGCGTTCTGGCGCTTTTTGCTTGCAGTGCCCTCTGTGTCAAAATAAGAGAGTGTTTCTAACAGAAATGCTCCACGTGGGGATCCGAATCCCAGAGAGGTTGGTGTCCTCCTGGCCAGCACTGCGTCACACCTGGACCTGCCCCCGCAGTTATGGCCCTCCGCTGACCCCCAACTCCAGGCTTTAGCTCCATGCAGGAGTTGGAAACAGGGTGTGGGGGGAAGAGCGGGGAGGCCCTGCATATGCCTTATGCTGTGGCAGCAGGGGCTCATCAAGTTTCCTTTCTCCATCAGACGAGCGTCATGGGAAGATGACAATGCATACAGAGAACTGTACCAGAGGCACGGGAGCTGCGATGCCAGCGAGTGCCTTTGTCCAGGAGGCAGAGGGGTGGCAGAGCCAGACGGGTAAGTTGCCAAAGATGCATCCCGGGGCTCGGCATGGGATCTCTGTCTCAGCAAAGGCTCAAAGCAGAAAGGCTGAGAACAAGAGCTCTGCTGGACAGTCCCGTGCTGTGGGCACTTGATCCTTAGAGACATGAACCAGTTTCTTTCCCCAGGCCCTGGCAGCTCTTTCTGTGCAGCTCCTGCACTGCTGTGGGCACTCACAGACACTGCTCCCAGCTGGAGAACAGCCATGAGGCCGGATGGGAGTGTGACAGCTGCGCTGGCCTGGGCACCCGTAAGTGTCAGAGCACCCAGGTGCTCCTGGACTGGGGCCAGGGGCCAGGCAAGGCCGGGCAGTGGGTGCCTGAGGTGGGCTTGGCAGAGCCTGTCTGCTCCAGGATGGCTGGGGCACCGCTCTGGCCTACACTGCCCCAGGCCTGGGAGCCAAGCCCTTATTGTTCCTGCTTTCCCTTGTAGCCTCCAGTGCCAGGTCAGAGGTTGCTGGTCCCAGCACTGACAGCCCAGCAGTATCGGGGCAGTCTCCTGGATCTCTGCAACGGGAGCTCAGCAGCTCCAGCAGCAGCAGCAGCAGCAGCCAGGCAGCATCGGGGCAGACCAGCAGGTGCAGCAGCACCAGGCAGCAGGCAGCGGTGGCATCCCGTGGCTCTCCATCACAGCAAAGAAGGAGGAGCAACAGCCCCGGTGGGCCCGTGCGGGTGCGAGGCCGCTCCCGCGTGCGGCGTCGGGACCAAGCTCCCTATGCACGGCCCAGAAGACGCTCCCAGGGCAGCCGCACACCACCAGCACGAGCTGGGAGGAGCCCCTGCAGACCGGCTGCGTCCAGGCTGTCCCAGGGCTCACCAGCACGTGCGAGCCGCAGGCACAGCACCACCAGACAGCGGCCATCAGCATCATCCCATGGCTCCAGAGAACGACAAAGAGGCAGCGCCTCAAGATCCACCGGGCCTCTGCGGGTGCGAGACCGCTCCCGTGTGCAGCGTCGGGACCAAGCTCCCTATGCACGGCCCAGAAGACGCTCCCAGGGCAGCCGCACACCACCAGCACGAGCTGGGAGGAGCCCCCGCAGACCGGCTGCGTCCAGGCTGTCCCAGGGCTCACCAGCACGTGCGAGCCGCAGGCGCAGCACCACCAGACAGCGGCCATCAGCATCATCCCATGGCTCCAGAGAACGACAAAGAGGCAGCGCCTCAAGATCCACCAGCCCTGTTCACGTGCGAGACCGCTCCCGCTCGCAACGCCGGGCCCAAACTCCCAACACGCAGCGCAGAAGGCGCCGTTAGAGCACCCACACGCCAGCACCACGTGCGAAGAGGAGCACACGCAGACAGGCTGTGCTGGGGCTATCCCAGTGCTCCCCAGCACCTGCTAGCAGCTGCTGCAGCAGTGGCAGGAGTCACCAGGGAGCAGCAGCTCCAGCATTGACAGCCAGGAGGCTTTACAGCCATGCCACAGTTCCCTGGCACCAGACACTGGCACTGCAACAATCAGGCCATGCCACGGCCTCCCAGCGTGCTCCCAGTTGAACTGTCACACCCAAACTGCCTACACGCGGCCCAGAAGACAGCAGAAGAGGAGCCAAGCGCCAGCACCACGTGGTGAAAGGAGCACCCACAGCCAGGCAGTGAGAGACTGTCCCAGCGCTCGCCAGTACCTGAGACAAGGAGCCCCAGAACCAGCAGGCATCGGCCATCAGCAGCATCCTCTGACTCCGCAGCACTGGAAAGCGGCAGCAGCTCCATCCCCGCTAGCCCCACGTGGGTGTGAGACAACTCCCACTTGCAACATCGGGCCCAGACTCCCAGAGCACAGTCTGGACACCTCAGTGGGACCAACCGTGTTTCCCCTCCGAGCGACCGCTGGGATCACCCTCTATCGGCACAATAAAGGTGGCCCTTCATCTCTGGACTGGGAGATTCCAGGCTCCTTGGTTGGCTTCCTCCTCCTCTGCCTTTCTCAAGGGGCAGCATCAGTGGTGGACTTGGCAGTCCTAGGGTAAAGGTTGGACGTGATGATCTTAAAGCTCTAGTTGATGTTAGTGATTCTAGTTGATTCTGTGATTCTATGTACTGTTGACAGTCACGGGTGCTCAGATCCCACAAAAAAAAAAAGAAAGAAAAGAACAAAAACACAAAAAAAAAAGTGGAAAAGGACAATTAAAATCAAGGGGCTTCCTCCTAAATCTGTTGCCCCCACGCAGAACCGCTTTGCTGTCCTGCCAGAGGTGAAGGAGGAAACGCACTTGCACCAGAAAGAGCCAGATGATGCACTGGTAAAGAAGATCTCTACTGGTGCTGCCAGGAAAAAGCAGTGGGTCGCAGTAGTAGGGGACTGTACTTTGAAAGAGACAGAAGCACTCATCTGTCGGCCTGACCTGGTCTCAAGGGAGGTGTGTTGCCTACCAGGGGCACAGATCAGGGATGTTGCAGAGAGGCTGCCTGCTCTAGGAATTCCCATGGACTATTACCAACTTCTAGTGATACATGCGGGTGCTAGGGATATAGATAGTAGTAGCGTGGAGAACATAAAGAAGGACTACAAAGCCCTGGGAGAGGTGGTTAGGGGCTCTAGAGCTCAGATAGTCTTTTTGTCGATTCTCCGGGATACAAGGGAGGACCTAAAAAAAGCTAGGAGGATTAGCCAGGTTAGTAAACGGTTAAAAGGGTGGTGTCATAGTCAGGGGTTTGGGTGTCTTGAATGCGGGAGCCAAGTCTGTAGGCCAGGTCTGGTGGGGGCTGGTGGAGCTGGTCTGATGAAGAGCAGTTCTGGTAGGAGGCTTGCCAGACTGGTAAAGGAGGCTTTAAACTAGATGTTTTTGGGGGAGGGGGCCATCATTCCATCCCAAGACATCCAGTCAGTTGCCAGCACCTATAAGAAATGCTCGGAGCAATTTGGATGTATTCCAGCCGCTCCAGCCAATGAGCCGGCTTCATTTGGAGCTCGGCTCAGATGCCTCTATACAAACGCCCGTAGCATGGGGAACAAACAAGAGGAATTAGAGATGTGCGCACATCTACGGGAGTATGCTATAATGGGCATCACAGAAAAAAGGTGGGGTGGCTGCTATGACTGGAGTGTTGGAATGGAAGGTTACAGGCTCGTTAGAAAAGACATGCATGGCAGGCGCGGAGGGGGAGTTGCCCTTTACGTTAGGGATAGGCTGGAGAGTATGGAACTCTGTCTGGGGACAGGTGATCAGTTAACAGAGAGTTTGTGGGTCAGGGTTAAAGGGAAAACAGCTATGGGAGACATTACTGTGGGGATCTCTTACGGACCCCCAGATCAAGAAGAACCTGCGGGTGAAGCACTCTATAGACAGATAGGAAAAGCCTCACGCTCACAGGCCCTTGTTCTCATGGGTCACTTCAACCACCCTGACATCTGTTGGAACGAGGGTACGGCCCGGCACAAGCAATCCAGGAGGTTCCTCCATTGTGTGGAAGACAACTTCCTCCTGCAAGGAATAGAGGAGCCAACAAGAAGGGGTGCCATGCTTGACCTCATGCTCACCAACAGGGAAGGGCTCGTTGGAAATGTTGGAAACACTCCAAGGCAGCCTTGGATGCAACCATCAGGAGATAGTCAAATTTGAGATCCTCAGGACGGTGAGAAGAGCGTGCAGCAAGCTCACTGCCCAAGACTTCAAAAGAGCACACTTTGGCCTCTTCAGGAACCTGCTTAGTAAGATTCCATGGGATATAGCCCTAGAGGGCAGAGGGGCCCAAGACACTTGCGTGATATTCAAGGATCACCTGCTACAAGCTGAGGAGCCTTGCATCCCAACCAGAAGGAAGTGCAGCAGGAGGGCCAGGAGACCTCCTTGGATGCATAAGGAGCTGCTGAGGAAAGTTCAAATGAAAAAAGAGGCGTATAAAAGGTGGACGCAAGGACAGGCGGCCTGGGAAGAGTACAGGGATGTTGTCCAGGAAGCTAGGGACCAGGTTAGGAAAGACAAGGCCCAGTTAGAATTAAACTTGGCTAGGGATGATAAGGATAACAGGAAGGGATTCTACAGGTACGTAGCAAGTAAACAACAGATTAAGGACAACGTAGGCCCCTCAGGAAACTCTCGAGTACTAGCTGCGCAGGATTTCGAGAAGGCTGAGGTTCGGAATGACTTCTTTGCCTTGGTCTTCACTGTCAAAGGCTCTGACTGCACCACCCAAGTCTTGGAAGGTAGATGCAGGGACTGTGAGAATGAAGACCTTGGGCCCACTGTAGGAGAGGATCTGATTTGAGACCATCTTAAAAACGTGAATGCACACATGTCCGTGGGACCTGATGAAATCCATCCATGGGTCCTGAAGGAGCTGGCGAATGAAGTTCTTAAGCCACTGGCCATCATATTTGAGAAATCATGGCAGTCAGGTGAAGTTCCCGACGACTGGAAAAAGGGAAATTTCCATTTTCAAGAAGGGGAAAAGGGATGACCCGGGGAATTAGAGACCAGTCAGTCTCACTTCTGTGCCTGGCAAGATCTTGGAGCAGATTCTCCTGGAAGGCATGCTAAGGCACATTGTCCTGGGTTTAGCAGTAGCAGTCAGTTTTCTCCTTCTTGGTAGCTGGTGCAGTGCTGTGTTTTGACTTTCGGGCTGGGAACAGAGCTGATAAAAATGATGTTTTGGTTTGGCCAAGGACTTTGTGAGCCTCATGCTCTGCCAGGGAGGATGGGAAGCCGGGAGGCAGCAGAGACAGGACACCTGCCCCAAACTGACCACAGAGGCATTCCATACCACAACACGTCATGCCCAGGGGGGAACTGGGAGTTACCCGAAAGGACAGG